TAAACCAGTGCCTCAAGCATGCTAGGTGGGCACTCTACAACTGAGCCACAACTCCAGCCCCTGGACTGTCAGGAAGGGACTGACTTGAAAGATGTCAACCAAATGCTATATGTGAACTGTGTTTGAATTCTGTTGTGAATAAACCAACTGTCGACAGAATACCCTTGAAAAATGTTGGACATGTGATTATAGAATGGGTATCCAGATGAGATGGAGGAATTATTGCTGATTTGTCAGGTGTGATAATGGCATGGTGGTTATATATAAAAAAAGAAAGTCCTACTGGCATACACCTGTAATTCCAGCTACTCAGGAAGCTGAGGCAGGTGGATCACAAGTGTGAGACCAAACTAGACAACTTAGCAAGATCCTAACTCAAAATAAAATAAAAAGGGCCAGAGATGTAGCTCAGGGGCAAAGTGTTTGTCTAACATACACAAGGTCCTGGGTTCAATTCCCAGCATTGAAAAAAAAATTCTTATCAGAGATTCATGCTGAAGAATTTATGAATCAAATAAATCTGAAATTTGTGTTAAAATTCTTGAAATATTCCAGAAAATAGTGTGTGTGGTGGAGTGGAGGAAGATGAATAAAAGACTGGCACATATCTGTAATCCAAGCAGCTTGGAAGGCTAAAATAGGAGGATCAAAAGTTCAAAGCCAGCCTCAGCAATTTAGCAAGATCCTGTTTGGGGTTCAATCCCAGTACCAAAAAAAAAAAAAAAAAAAAGATTGGCTGTGACTTTGACTAAATTCCAAGTGAACTGGGGTAATAAGTACCTGGAATTCACTATACTATTCTCTGTACTTCTGTGCAAGTTTTGAAAATTTTCCATGACAAAAAGTTAAAAACAAAAACTCTCCTCATTTTAATCTCTAGCCTCCATTCAATAGTTCTGAGTTCCTGACCCAATCTGGGCTCACAGCCAACCCTCCAAATTCTACTTAGCACTTTCTTCATAAGGAAACAGCTTGGTGGCGATGATGGGGGTGTCAGTGATGGAGCTGCCCTGAGAAGACCTCTGCTCTCTGCATCCCTCCTACCCTGTCTCAATCAGAATTCATCTCTCTCCTGATTTTTAGAATATTATATTTTATCACTCTCCCTGGCTTTTCCCACCTCCCAGTTGGTCGGGTTTCCCCATTAACCCCAGATACTGAGTGTTTCATTCAGGGGTTATCTTGTCCTTATCAGTCACCCCTACTCCACCACAAGCCAGAGCACAATCAGTGTTTGTTCAACTGCACTGGCCCCTCTGCAACTCAAACATGCTCTCTGCTGGGTTCCTCTCCAGGGCAAAGAATCTTCTCCACAGGCCAAGAACTTCATAGACAAAGGAGAAAAGGCATTCATTTCCTCAGACATTCACAAAAGGTAGATCGTGGGAGGTGACAGCTGGGCACATAGCCACCTCCAATGTGGGCCAACTGTGCAGCGTGATCCAGTGAGGAGGGAAGCTGCCGTCTTCATAGTCACCAGCAGAGAAGGGGCCCATGGAGGGTGCTCTGGCTTCTCCTGTCATGATTACTCTGTTCCATCCCTTCATCATTAGCTTCCCTTATCTATAAAATCACGAACTACCAAACCATCACCACCCTTCCTCATACAAACTAGACAGGCAGAGAGATGCCATGAGCATCTGCCCCAGGGCAGGGTCACCACTACTGCCTCCCCGAGGGCTGTCTCTTCAGCTTCCTTGGGAATCTTTATTCAGGGAGATGTCACACAGTCATCTTTTCCTCCCAAATGGCCCAGGATGGTGTTTAAACTGAGCAGGGAAGTTGACCTTTAATTTACTTAATTCTTGTGAACGAAAAATCCTCCATGATGGCAGAGGGGCCTGCCCACAGAGCAGTGCCCCCAAGAAGTCCTCCCTCAAGGTCCCAAGAAAATATGCCCACGTGCCATCCACCATGGCCAGCCCTGCCCTTACCACCACTGTTACAATGCCAACCGTGGGCATGGGGGGAACAGAGCAAGCAGGTTCACTGGCTGCGTTCCACAGGCCTCCTTGGGTTCCCCTCAGCACCAGGTTGAGAGCCAAAGGAATTCTACTGGCAGGAGACAGAGGAAGGTCACAGGCTTCTCTGATTTCCCTGACAGACTTGGGGGCTTTTCTCAATTTACTTTGATTTGTCTTTAGATGCTCTTTGTACAGAAAAAGGTCTGTTTTTGAAACACCGTAAAGGAGAAGCAGTTACCAATGACTGGAAACACACACAGGACCATTTTACTACTCTGAAGAAAAACTACTTATGGCTGGGTGCCCAGCTCAGGGGCTGATCAGCAGAGACTGAACAAACTTGCCCTCTACGAGGCTGTAAAATGAGGATATCAGATGGTATGTAGCTGATTCCACAAATCTAAGATAATCACTTCTTCCTCCCTTTTTCCCAGTCTCTCTAATTCAAATCATTGCCACCATATTATTCTTTTTCTTTATTCCCATTTATTGCCCTGTGTTGCTCTGCCCTGTGTTGCTCAACTGGCAGTCATCCTGGCCTCAGGAAGCCTGGCATTGAAGGTCAATGCCTGTTAACGTGGCCAAAGAGACCTTTAATATTTGCAGAATCTATGCCAAACAAGTATACAACATCCTGTGACAGGGCAGAGAAGTCTTTGGAGAGATTGTAGAGGTCATTTTGTACCAATTCTCTCGGGTAGAGAAATAGGGTTTTTGTCATCTTTCCTTGATTCCAAGATGCATGTTTTTGGATCTCAGAAATGAGGAGGCATCTCCCAGTCAACAATGTCATATCATTGCTGTGGCCCTGGAGTAGAGGCAGATGCTCCCAGAGAGGCTTGCACTGGCTGGTCATGTGGGGCCACCCAGCCTCAGACTGTTGGCCATGACATTCCATACTTGAAGTTCTTCAATATCGCACAGCTTGTGGCAAAGAGGAACCCTGCATGAGGACTAGCAGCCTGGGCCTCCCATTCTCAGGAGGATTTTCCATCCCCACATATTGTCCAGAATGAGATGTATTTTTTTGCTCTCTCTTCCTTCATAGCAGCTCTAGTTCTCATTTACCCTATCATTATTTTATCACAACTTTATGTGTCTAAGGCTCTCCCATTAGACTTCCCATGTTGGGCATTTTTATTTTTTAATGGTACATAAAACAATGATAATATCTTATAATCATGGTTTCTTAGCCAGGGACATTAGTGTACACCTATAATCTCAGTGGCTCAGGAGGCTGAGCAGAAGGATCACAAGTTCAAAGCCTGCCTCAGCAGTGAAGCCCTGAGTAACTCATCAAGACCAGGTCTCTAAATAAAATATTAAAAAGGGCTGGAGATGTGGCTCAGTGGTTAAACACCCCTGGGTTCAATCCCTGGTACAAAATAATAATAATAATTATTATTATTATTATAATTATTATTATTTCTTATATTTGATGAAAAGATTCTGTTTCAAGTATTATATGATATTTGAAATAATTCAGCTTGCTAAAAGAAAAGGAGACAGGATTTTGAAGAAATGATTTCATGACATCAAAATATGTGTTGTCCTAACTCACTTCCTGTCTGAGTGTTTCCCCTCTAACACCAGCCCAGGAGTTGTCAGTGGCTTCCCATGACTCCAGGGACAAAGGCAGACCTTTTTTTATTTTGAGACAGGATCTTGCTGATTTGCTTAGGGCCTCACGAAATTGTTGAGGCTGGTGTTTTGAACTTGTGATTCTCTTGTCTTGGCCTCACAAATTGCTGGGACTACAGGCATGTGCCACCATGCCTAGCAAGGCAGAGTTCTTTAATGTGGCCAAGGACCTCCTGGTCCTGCCTCCTCCCCAGCCATGTAGACATTCCTGTTCTCCCCTCTAGCTGTCTTACTGTCCTGGCACTTCCAGTCTTCCATGCCCTACTCATTACAGAGCCCTGACATGATGGCCCTGTTGGAAACACTTCTCTCCCTCGTTTGCTTAGCTGGTCTCAGTTCCAGCATCCCTGCTTTTGGGACAGACACCTCCTCTGACCAGATCAAAGGCCCCACCATAGGTTCTTGCATTGAGGAATGCTTCCCTTTCTTAGCATGTGTCCCAGCCACAGTTCTACGTTTTAATGATTCTTGGTTAATGTTGGAATCCTTCAGAGGACAGAGAACTCCACGAAGCAAGAGACAGGCCTGTTTTTTACTCAACCGTGTATCATCAGTCAAGCCATGTTTCTGGAAGTTGGTAGATGCCTGAAAGTTATTTTTTGAATGAACAGATGAATCTGGATATCATCTGCCTCCACCTGCAGACAGTAAACTCCTAGAGATTGGAGCATTTAGAAGAAGCAGAAAGAGCCATAGATTGCCATTAGAAGGCCCCTATTTTGTCATTAATGATGTGACCTGGAGTAAATCACATCCTCTGTTTCCTCATCTCTAAACCGGGGATAATATCCAATCCAAATGACAGGGATGTTTTGTGAAGCCATGAAGGTACTTTGAAACTCTTTAACTGGTCCACTCCCCAACCCAAAACTTCTAGCAGGGCCATGTCCATCTCCCTGCACTGACTGTATGATTTTATGATTATGTTGACTGCCTCTTCCTTTGAGGAAAAGGGGATGAGATCACATAATCCTCAAGAGGGATGCTCAAAGCTTTGTATCATGAAGGAGTCACTGAGCTTTGTGCTTCCCAGTCTTCCTGTCCATCCTCTTCAAAAATTCTGATGGAGTCTAGTAGACTGTCAAGGCCCAATGGCTTAGTACATAGGAAAGGAAGCTCTTGGTTGAGCCCCTTTTGGTTCTTGTTATCAATGCACAGTTGGGGCACTTAGCCATAAGTTGGAGGAAAAAGTGGAGAAGAGGGAGATGCTCCTCTTTCCTCCTGCTTTGCAGGTTGGTCTTCAGACCTGGACAGGGCTGGGTAGGAACAGTGACTACACCGTCTGGGACATGGCTCCTGGGACAATCATGTACAAGTGTATGCATTCCACCCACACCTGGAAAAATACATGAAGTTGCTTGCTTGGCCTCTGGGATCCAAACTTTAATATTAAGGTGGATATTTACAACTAAGCCTCACTACTTCCTCCCATATGCTTCGTCTTGGAGATGGGCACCTGGGTTCCTGTTTCATTGGCATCAACTGGCTATGAATAATCCTACACCATCCTCCCTCTCAGTTTCCTCATCAGTTACATAGAAATCATATCATCTCCTACTTTCCCATCTCAAAGAGTTCTTTAAGGATCAAGTGAGGTCACAGACATAAGGGCTCCTTACGTGAAAAGTCAGTTCAAACAAAAGGTAGTATTATTTTCTCTGTGCATTTTAAATTCTTGCTTCTGTAGCAGGAAAGCACTATGCTCACTTAGTTATCCTTAGTTAACTCAAATATCACTCAAGATCTGCAATCATAAGGCATGTAGGTGGGAAGAGAGAGGCGAACAAACCCATCACCACAAATCCATTCTCAAGCATCTCCCCAAGGAGTGCTTCACTCCCTGTGGAAAAGGGTATGGTGAGGGGAATTTGTTCTCTAATTGTTTTAACAGCTTGGCTGCTCTGCCATCACTCTCTGAGAAATCCAGGTTGGTGAGAGGAGGTGTGGAATTAATAATTAACCAGCACCTCGGCAACTGTCAATTCTCTGGAGAGGGGTGGAAAGCTGCCCTACAGATATACTCCCTACAGGATGATTCTAGCTGGAAGCGGAGGCAGGGGAATGGGAAAGTGCTTTATTGACTGGATTCTAGTGCTCAGAGCTTCAGGCTGGCAAGGACTTCCTCTGTGTGTGGTCTGCTGAGCAGCTCCGATAGGGATTCACTGGCATCCTGGTGGAACATGGCTCCCAGGCCATCTGTGTCCCCACTCTCTAACTGGAAGCTGCCCATCATTTCCTGTATCCACTGTAGGTCGGCTGAGAGCTCCTGCCTCAGAGCCTCAAACTGTGTCTGCAGATGGTCCAGTTTCCTGGCCACACCTCCAATGCTAGCCCCTGTGGCCTGGATATCTTCTCGCAGGAGCTTCTTCAAGGACTCCAACTTGCGGAACTCATACCTGAGCTGGGACAGATTGTGCCGGGCGCTCTCATTCTCCTCTCGGTACCAAGTCTCCTTCTCATTGTAGATGGAGACCAGGGTTTCCACATCATCCTGGAGAGTGTCACGGGCCCCCACTAAGGCACGATATCCCTGGTCCACCCCAGCCATATCTTCTACCACATGGGCGAAACGCTCAAAGTTGACATAAGTGTTGTTGGGGGGCATGCTTGAGTGGCATTTGAGGGTATACTCTCTCAGACGCTTGGTCTTCAGCTCAATGGGTTGTGTCTTCTGCTGCTCAGGAGCTCTGACTTCTCCCTTCGACTGGCAGATGTTCAGACAGAAGAACCACAATGTTAACATAATGCATGCTCCAGAGGGCAATCCAAGCTGCAGGTGGAAAGCACACACGATGGTCTCTTTGGCATTCACTGCATGCGTCAGGACATAGGGAGAGCCCTGGTGGAGTGAGCAACCCCTCAGACCATAAGAAAGGTCAAAGGGTATGGGGATGCTCCCTGCATGCTCACTTCAGGGCGGAGGGGTCCACAGCCATTAGAGGGTTTCCACACGCACAGCATTTAATGGGGCTCAGGCAGAAAAGCGGGCTGCGGTCAGGATTCTGTAGACATCCACTCCAGGGCTGGAGCAGGCAAGGCCATGGCTGGCAGAGGGAGGCAGAGGGAGGCAGAGGGTGTCTCTCTTTTGGGGTTCCTGGCATCTTGGCAAAACTGAGCATGCTCAGCAGGAGGACCCTTGATCTTCCCCATCCTTCAACAAGCAGATGAACCTGATCTCCCTGATCACTCCAACCCTCCCTACTCCCCATCATCTATAGGCCTCTACCCTTCTTGTCTGCACGCTCAGATCATTCCTGTAAGCCTTCTTCTTTAACAATGAAGGTGAATAAGAAGTCTTGGAAGTTCACAGCTAGTCAGTCAACAGAATGCCGGTCTATGAGTCCCTCTTTCCCAAAAAGCTTTTCACTATACCAGACTGCGAGACCCTCTGAAAAACCAGTAGCTGGAGCTTGGTTACAAGGCAAGTTAGGGAGAGATTGACCTTTCCCCCTGGCCCTTCCCAAAGGGAACAAAACTCCCCTAACAGGATGGCAGTCTCTTTTCCCACAAGGCTTCTGTCTCAGAGGCTAATTCCTGAGGTCTCATGGTGCCTGTGGAAAGCAGCTGATATAAAGCATATCCTTTGAGCCCCAAATGTCAGAGAAGAAGGTTACAAAGTCAGGGTTTCATTCTATAAGCTGTTTGAACCCATGAAATACAAACTTCATTTAGCATAACCCTATTTGAAAATGGTCAGGCGCCTTGGGGCCCCTGACAAGCTATCTTCTGTGCCCAAGGATTGGTGTTTCCAGCAAAAGGCTCTCCACAGGCCTTCTGCATCTGGCTGCCACAGCCAGCCCTGGTGACAGAGCAAAGACCCCTGCTCACTGGAACTCACCCCTGTGCCCTTACCGTGATCCAGGGATGCCTGAGAGCCTCTTGGATGGTGAGCCGTTTCCTGAAATGAGGATTAGGAAACAGTGATGATTCTTTAGGGCAGCAGTCTCCATTCTCACGCTCTTTTGGCATTCTTTGGCCATGCCATCATAATGGAAGATGCAGAGATGGATGAGAACTGCCTGCATGCCCCATGCTCCCAGGAAAGAGGTTTGGGCAGAACCCAAACAGAGAGACCTTTCTACCTGAACCCTCACCTTCAGTTCCAAAGCTGAAAGGCCACCCTCTAGGGGAGTCATTAAATGCACTACTGAGTTTCCAGAATCCTCCAAAAGCCATCTCTCCATTGCTAAACCTTTGGTCTTTGTTTGCCTCCCAGGTCCCTCCTTTGTCCTTCACTGTTCTGTTCCCAGGTAGGGGGGGCCCTCCCTAGTACTGACCTTTGTACCTAGTACCACTCTGGCCCTCTTTGAAGTCTGTGGGACCAAAAGGACATAATTTTCTAGCATTGGTGGCCCTTTTCCCCTGCTCCATCCAGGCCCTCCCTGGGTACCAGCACCCTACATTCCCTGCCCATGTCCTCCTTTGACCCCACAGATATGGGGCTCATTCTGGGCTCTGAGGCAGGAGTAGGATTAGCGTGTCTCCTCTCTTTCCACTGTACTGACCTCTCTGGGCCTGCCAACTCCACTCCCACCTGAACTGGCTTGAAAACCCTGCTACTTTATTTCTCTAATTGAGTGCCTTTGGGACCAACTGTACAAGGTAATGAGTCTTAAAAAACAAAGACTGATTTACGCATACACATACACACACACACACACACATACACACACACACACACACACACACACACATTTTCACATATACACACAGTTATTGGCATTTCAGTAGAAGAAAGAAAGACTTGAGCAAACAAGGTGAATGTCAAGTCTTGGCCAGTCATGTTTCTTAGCACCTGCTCAGATTAGACCACAATGGTGCAGGTGACGCTGTGGCAAAGCAAAGACAGACTGACATCTTTGACAGTGGTAAAAGGAGAGGATCAGTACCTGAGAAACCAGTGCCTTTCTTTTTTTCTTACCGGGTCTCTTTAACCAGAAGCTTCCGAATGAAGTCCTTGGCCAATTCACTAGTCTGGCTGAAGAATTCCTCATCGAAGTCGTAACTCACTGCTGTGATATTTGCCAGTGTTTCCTGCTTTGTGTCTCCCAGAAAAGGGGATGCTCCACTGAGGCTGCATACAACAGAGAAGGAACCATATGACTGCGGGTTTGGAGATGGAAATGGACTCGGGAAACTTGACCCATGCTATGGCACAAGGCTGGGAGGCTCCTGGCAACACAGCCTTCCCTCTCTGGGCAGCCAACCCACAGCTTTTTCAATGCAGTCCAATTCAACACATTTTATGGAACTCCTAGTAAGTACTTTACAGAGGACAAACTGTGTCTTAGTGGACACAAAAGTTGAGAGGAGAAAAAAGAAAAAACAGACATAGCTCTTCATAAACCCCAGCAGAACAAAGCAGAAAATTATTGAAAGCCAGATAAAAGACTGTGGGAGCACCAAAAAAAGGGGGACCCCAGTGCAATTCCATGGGAGAGTTGACAATTGCACTGTCATGTCTTGAAGAATTGACAGCAGTTGGAGGAGGAGAAGAAAAGCTCTTTCAGGCCAAGGGAGCAACTTGAGCATATCCTCAGAGCCATGGAGACTGGGGTCTGTGGGGTCCCTACAGGGTTGTTCAAGGCTGCATCAGATAAACAGTGACTTCTGAAGCTACCATCTCTTGACATGCATTTCAGTTGCTCATGGGACACGGCCCAGATGTGCCATTTTCCCAGGACTCACTGTGCCAAAACCCCCTCCATGTGTTCCTTGCTTTGATCAATGACATTGCTTCACAAATGTGAAGTGATGCTTGTTAGAAACGCAACAGTCACCTTGGTCTCTTTTAAGTCCCTCCTTACTTGATTGGCAAAAAGTCTTACTGTTTCTGTTTACTAAACAAACCTTGAATATTTACTCCTCTCCCCCTGCTTCTTTCTTTGCATAGAAGTAGCAAGGCATACTGGAAAACTTTGGATATTTTTTTTTTACACCATGATAAAGTGACATTTATTCCAAATATGCCAGGGATGTTTAAGACTCAAAATGCAATTAAGTAATCCATTAAAACAATAAACTAAAAAAAAAAGGGGATCATTTCAAATTATACAAAAATACTATACAAAATCCAGTAAATCCAGTGTTACCAGTGTTATTCATGATAAAAAATAATTATCGGAAAATAGTAATAGAGGAATACTCAATTGATAAGAATAATAAAGAATTTATCAATTGAAAAATCCTCAATTGACAAAGAATATTACATTATGTTCCAGCTGCCAGCTGATGATTGGCTCACAGCGGCCCCAGCAACATCTAGCTGATTGGCTCCTCTGCGGTGATGTTCATTGGGCTGTTTCCCTGCCCTTCAGACTGCCAGCTGATGATTGGCTCACAGCGGCCCCAGCAACATCTAGCTGATTGGCTCCTCTGCAGAGCTGCTCATTGGGGGACTTCTTTGGCTCCGCCCACGCAACCCAGCCAATCGGCCTCAAGAGCAGGAGGATTGTGGGAGGTGGAGAGGCTGGTGTGGGGGTGAGAGGCTTGTGGAAGCCGGTAGTGGCAGTTGGGCTCTGAGGGTTTTTTCCTGAGGAGTTATTTTGTTTGGCGTTTGTAGTTCTAAAAATAAAGTTAGTTTCTTTTGACAAGTGGCTCCTGAATTGTGCCCAGCCAGACTGCGGCATTATGTATGTAACATATTTATATAATTATAAATAGATTGATGATTTCCCTATAAAATTGGAAGTAAGGCAGGAATGTTCCCTTTCATTACTGGTATTCAATCTAGTACTACAGATATTAGACAATAAAACAATAAGACAAGAAAAGAACAGAAAATATGCATAGATTTAGGAGCAAGAAATAATTTTTTGTATTTTTGGATATTTCAATGTTGGGTTTGAATTTCAGCTGTGCTAAGCATTAGCTGTGTGAACCATGATAAGTTCTTTAACTTCTCTGAGCTTCAGTTTCCTGATTTGTAAAATGAAGAAAATGGCAGCCTCTACCTCACATAATTGACATGAAGAAGTGACCTTGGTCACTGTGGGTGAGAGGTAGCTCTATGGTGTGCTTCCCTCAGACAGAGAGCCCCAGGCAAGAAAGAAAGGCTCTCCTTCACGTCCACGTCCTGAGTGCCTGGCACAATGCCCATGATGGTGCCAGCCAACAATAAAGCTGTGTTGAATTCAAGTGAGCCAACTGTGTGCCCTGCAGATGCTGGAATTCCTTAATTGTTCAGTATGAGACCTGGAGCTCTGGAGAAACTCAGATTTCAAGAGACGACGTTTGAATATCCTGGCTGTCATCCAGTATTACAGATCAACGCAAAGTGATGCTCAGCCTCTCTTTCCATCAAAACCCTCTCTATCAAATTCAACTGGGTTTTTAAAAATTTACTGATGCAGAGGTCCTACCCCTAGCAATTTTAATTTATATAGATCTGGGGTGAGCCTGGCCCATGGTAGGTATTGAAAACTCGACTGTGCAGCCAGGGTTGAGACCCTCTGCTGCAGCTCGGGGGAATCCACTGTTATTGTGCAGTCTAAGTGCTGCTGTGAGTCAGAAAGCTGGTTTATGGGGGCTTAGAGAGAATGATCCCTCAGTCCTGGAGCACTGGTACCACCCTGTTCCCTCTGGCTATGGGCTGATTCTCACTGCAGTGGGCCATAAAAATAGCATTTTCCAGGTATGCTGTGAGGGGAAGATGATTGGGTAGCACTGATGGACTGAATACCTAAGCACCTGCCATGCATGCGCCAGAGCAGGGACTAGGGAATTGGCACATGTTGGCTTATTTAACCCCTACATTGCCATGGCAGGGGAGGCCTGGCACTCCACACAGGAATGCAGTCATTGCCTGTGCAGGAGGGAGGGCTGCTCCCAGGGCTTCCTGCTGAAACTCAATGCCAGGGTTAAATGTATGAAACACCTCAGAGCACTCAGTCTCAGGTCTGCTCTGTGGACTTAACACATCTGGCTCATGGTAGATGGATGCTCAGTACATCTTTCTACTTGCCCCTCTCTCATTCCTCTTAGGACCCCACAGTCTATGCTGGGATGGAGCCCCAGAATCAGGGATACTCACAGGATGTAGGTGATGACACCGATGCTCCTGCAAAACAGAAAACAGTCAAGTAAGGACCTCCTGCCTCCAACTCAGACCAGCAAGGGACTCCCCATGTGGTCCTGGGAGAAGAGGTTACTTGCCTCCTCCAGGCGTCCCCAAACCCCTCTTCATCCCACTCTTCAGCAGCAGCCTGGGATGCATTTAGAGTGATTGAGCTCAGCACACGGAGATCAAAGACCCAAGTTCAAGATCTGATCTCTACACTTGCAGGTTCTGTGATTTGGGCGCAACTCTCTCCACCTCTGAGACCCTTTTTTCTTATATAAGGAGGATAATGAGAACTATCTTACAGGACCGCAGGCAGGATTTTAAAAGGCCAAATGCTCAGCCTACTGTCCAGCAGCATTCAAATGAAAGAGTCCTGCATGTGCAGAGGACTGACAGCAGCAGCACCCCTAGGCCAACACAGTGCCTAGGATGAGGGAAGCACTTGTTAAACACTTGGTGGACTGCCCTAATGAGCTACTGTTACTGTTATCCTGACCATGGCTGTGGCAGGCCAAGGCTAAGCTGCACTCCGGCCCTGCCCCTCCCCTTGCTTCTCTGCAGCTGACCGAGTCAAGACCTGGTCATATATTAACTGGCCTCAGGACCCAGCTTTGCTGCTTCCAGCAACAGCAGAACACCTGGAGCAGCCTGAGGCTCTAAGAGGTGAATATGGAGAAGAGAGTTCTCACAGTCAAGGGAATGACACCCAAAGCAGGTTCTGAGGACTTCTGCCCTTGGAAGGATCCCTAGACCACCTGAGTGATCTGTACAACTTACCACATGTCAGCCTCAAGCCCCAGGGGCTCATAGTTCACGATTTCTGGAGCTGAAAGAAGTCAAGAGGAGAAATAAATGAGAGGAGATAGTTGTAGGGAATTCTAGGGAATCTGCTGCCAAATGTCTTCATCCTAACTCTTAGGAAAATCTGAGCAGCAGATGGAAATAATCTGTATCTAAGAATTTTAGGGAAAAAGTATGGCCCAAATATTTGTGTTTCCCCAAAGGTCACATGTTGAAATCTAATCCCTGGTGCAAGTATATAAAAGAGGTGGGGCCCCTGGGAGGTGAGGAGGTCATGAAAGCAGGACCCCTATGAATGGAACTAGTGCCCTTTCAAAGAAACCTGAGGGAGCTTGTTCAATCCTTCTGCTATGAGGGGACACGGCAAGACACTAAATCTGCTGGCACCTTGATCTTAGACTTCCCGGACTCCAGGACTATGATTGCTAAATTTCTGTTGTTTATAAATTACCAAGTCTAAGGCATTTCTTAATAGTATCTCAGACAGACTATGTCACAAGGTGCCTGTTTTTCTGGTAGAAACCTTCTACAGGCAGGCCTTGATAGTGAAGAAGAGAGAAAGCATGTAAGAATGCCTGAAAGGGAGAAGGAACAAGGGGAGAGGAAGGAGAAATGGAGCCCCGCTCTAGAACTCTCTAATGGACGCCAGTCAGTGCTGCTGAAAGGAAATGGGGAAGAAAAGAAGGCAGAGAGGACTCCACCTTCCCCTGAGTCTGGGCAAAAAGAAGGGACCTCCCACTGAGGGCATCTTTGTGGTCACTAAGATGAGATGCTGAGCCTGAGGTGCCTGAGGGGCAGTCAGGGAAGATGTCCAGGGGGCAGATGGCTATGGAGGAGGAGGTCTGGGCCATCACATTTGGAGTCATCGAAGTACAGGAAGAAAGAAGAGCTGAGCCAATGTTGTGGTGACCAGTGTAGAGTAGGAGAGAAGATTGCCAGGAGAGGCGAGGACCACAGGCAGCTTGGAGATGGAGCAGATAAGCACTGGAGAGTGAGTGCTGAGCTGCAAGCTCACAGCACCCAGTGTCTCCAGAAGGTAGGAAGAGGAGGTAGAGCATTGGTGATTCTTTAAAAGGTTGGCAATGAGTGGAGGCAAAAGAGAAGGCAGTACCTTGAGGAGGAGGAAGGACAGAGGCAGAGTGGAAAAAGCTAAATCTATCTAGAAAATATCTTAAAGCATCCCATCTACAGGGTTATGTCTGCCCTCCCACTCTCATACTGCCCCTGTTTTGAGATAATCACTATCCTGGCTTTGCTTATTTTTAGCTTTATAAAAATGGTGTCATGCTGCTTGTGATCTGTTGTCATTTGATTGCCTTTTACATGCTTCTACTGCTCATTGCACATTCATCCACCTCTTCCATTTTCACTACTATGCAATAAACCATTGTGTAACTATGTATCATTTTTCAGTCATTCTCCCCTTAGAGACCATTTGGATGGTTTCCATTACTTTCATTATTGGAACAATATTGCTGAAAACGTTTTTTGTTCCCTGCTCAGGGTAAGTATGTGAAAAACTTTCTTAGGACCATGGTCTTCACCATGGGATCCACAAAGAATCTGCAGACAGGTCTAAGAAAATAGGTGCAGAAATTGGAAGTATGTATTTAGAGACTCTTACAGCAATTTGACATTGCTTTGACATCCAAACTATGATCATTTTTGAGTAGCTGATTTTTATGGTCTCTTCCTAAAGTAAAGTCCAGGACAGACAGCGACACATGACTATATATGGAATTTCTTAAAGTTCTTTGGTTCTTTCAAAAATTTGCTTGATCATTTTTGACACCTTGTGTTCCTTACTCATTCTTGTGGTTCCACCTTTTATTTCTGTATACATTCCACTTATTTCATAGTCATCATCTGGTAATTTCGGTTATCTTTTGTCCTTGAACATCTATACCTTGCTAGCCTTTGATTGGATTGTTGACATGTACATTTGCCTTCAAGGAAGGTCAGAAGAAAAGAAAATTCCTGTTGAATTTTCTTGCTGCTTGAAGCTCAGCTCTAAGTTCAATTCATTGGGGGTGGGTCATGCTGAAGGGCTTACAACTCTCTTATTTCCTATAAATTGTATTCAAAAGAAAATGTCTTCCATGGATCCAGTCATGTACTTAGAGGGCCTTTTTAATACCTGATTCCCCCAAACTACTGGCAGTTGTTCCTGATTTTGTAGACTTTTTATTCCTGGGTCTTAGGTTGAAATTTCAAATGGATGGTGGATGCAAGGCAAAGTGTTTATAACCTGTTTCTCAGGAGTCTTGAGAAAATAAAGTCACCCTATTTCAGGGAAGGGCCTAGAAAATTCCCCCTATAAATTTATAAGATACAAATAAACCCATCACAAACAAAACCATACTGATGTAAGAAATAACTGTGTGCATCTCTTCCGACTCTGTATTCAATGACATGCTGGTAGCTTGAAATTGGCTAATGTTATAAGTTAGAGATTCATTTTTGAGATTTGGTTGTTAGACATTTGCATACCACTGGGCAAAAACCTCCAAAGTCTGGCTCCAGCTACCAATATCCCACTCACACCAACAATCTGGTATGAATAATCAACTCTATGCAGAGTGGACTTTGACCTGTCCCTAATAAAAGCACTTATTCTAGCCTTTCCCTCTGCTATGCTATCACTGACCTGGCTGTGCTCCTTCTCCTCTATTCTGGCTCTCTTTTCCAACTACTTCAGACTTCTCCCCACCCCCAACCATCAGTTTTTGCCCCTCACTGACTCAAGACCATGACCAATCCCATTGACTGTGCCAGAGTGGACATCTTCTCTGAATAGTCTTCCAGAGCTATCTGTATTACTTTACAATTAATCACATCCTGGCTTCCATTATAGCCCTGAATTTCTAGTTGAACTATTTATTGACTGACTATTATTGAAAAATTTACATGAACTTAACTAATGAATATATGCCCTTCAAGCACATATGTGAATGGTGGGCAGCAACTGTTCTCTTAGACAAAGTTTGAGTCTAGATATCTTGTTCCCCAGGTTCCAATTGGCTCTCCCACCAACCAGTGACCTTGGATATGTCATTCTGAAGGTGGCTGGCTCCTTATCATCACTTTGTTTCCCATACCTTACCTAAAATCTGTCATACCAGAGGTAAAGAACAACTTTGGTTTCCTTATGAAAATTCCCCAATCCTCCATTTCCACATTTGTTTAACTAGACCAGATGATCTGAAAAGATCCTTCCAGCACTTTTATTTAGTGGTTTACTATCTAATATCCACAACTAAATGGAAACTCCTTGAGAGCAGGGTCTTCTCAGAGTGACCCTGGTATAATAGAAAGAGACCAGCTTTGATGCTGATTTATCAGTATTTGAATCTACTGCCACCACCTACTGCTTATATTGTCTGAAAGAAGGCACCTGATGGAGAAAATAATTTAATCTGCTTCATGAGGCCACTTGAGGATTAAATAAAACAAAGTCTGCAGAGTGTGAGGCATGGTGCCTGGCATATGGTCAGAGTTCCCTGTACTGGGTTCTGGGGAGCCAGGGGCGAGTCTCTGCAGCACCATTCCATAGTGACTGCGTAGCTGGTATATGAGGGCTGGAGTCCTTCAGGGTGGAAGGTCTAACATATTCTCTCTTCCCTTTTTTTTTTTTTTTTTTTTTTGGTGGTACTGGGGATTGAACCCACAGCCTCTTGCATGCTATGAAAAACCAGCCTCTACCTCAAAGCAAAGCCTGTCCAAGGAAGGGGGCATGACCTTTGTCCTTGGAAAGACCCACAGAGCACTCCTAGGCACTTACCCACCCTGCTGAGTTGTTTATCTACAAATATCAGGAGAGATCTACAGCACCAGGTGTCTCTGACTATCAGGCTAGGTGGGGACCCATAGCAACCCCCTAGCAGCCACCAATCAGCATGAGACAGGGAAATACCTGGGATGCCAGATGGTCCTCCCAGTACTTTTAGTGGTTGATAACATGTTGGAAAACCATGTAGTTCAGCACAAACACTCCTCTTGTCTTAAACCAATCAGTTCAAATGAATACCCCTTTTGTACTGACCAATCACCCCTACCTACCCAACTTGTTCCCGCCAGTGAATGTGCTAATCATGTTTTAGAGTTGTTATTTGATTTTCCCGCGGTGTGTGATGATTTGCTAAGAGATGCTATGATGTATGTGAAGTCCCTGCCTTCCCCAAAGAATGTATAAAACTGCTGCAAACCCTGGGCTCAGGGCCTTTCAGCGTCACCAGTTGCTGTGTGTGCCCGCGTGGAGGACCGAGCTAGCTCACAATAAACACCTCTTTGCTGCTTATATTGATCTTAGCCTCTGGTGGTCTTTTGGGGGTCCCAAATTGGAGCATAATAGCTAGGCAAGTGCTCTATCACTGAGCTACATCCGTATCCTGCCTTCCTTTTTGAATAGATTATAGTCAGGAATTTTTAGCTCCCAGGTTTTGAAGAGACCACACCAACTCTCCATCCCCAAGACCTCTCCAACCCCTGAAGCAGAAAGACAGACGTAGGTTCTCAACTCCCATTCCTTTCCTCTCTACAGGACTATTTCTTTGTGATTCCCCAACCTTTGACCCAAGCCCCATGAAAGGGCTTCTGGAGTACAGGAAAGTAGGGCCTGGACCAAGGGAAAGAGATACAGAAGGAAGAGGGCAGCCAGGGTCCTGTTGGAGCCAGGTACCACAAGCATGAATAAAGGTGGGCACAAAAGAGGCAGGTAGGTGGATCTGGGACTTTGAAAACGATAGTCTTTTTCTTTTTTAGGAAATCAAAAGCTACTTCATGGAAGGCAGAGTTTGTGGGAATGCAAGAGAGCAAGGTGATTTTAAATATATGTGATAAACTCATCTAAGAGCAAGAGGTAGAACCAGTTCTGGGAAGATTCAACTCTGGAAGTTCCTCTCTGGTCACCCCCTGTCCCACTGGGTGCTCAAATCCTACACTTGGACTCTCACCCAGACCCGAACAAGATATCTGCCCCCACTCCCATTAGGTTTCTAGTGGGTGTCCCATAGCATTCTCTCTTAACCCAGAGGCCACAGCCTCAGACTCGAGCTTTGTTCCCAGGACTTCTCTATACTTTGATTCTTCTCTGGGAGAGAAACAGGCCTAAAACTTACCAACAAATTCTGGCGTCCCAAAAATGTTCTTAAATTCAACTCCATCTTCTATTTCGTGAGCCAGGCCAAAATCAATCAGCTTGATGTGTGGAATGGGAATATTCTTGTCTAATAACATAATGTTTTCTGGCTGGAGAACAAAAGAAAAGAGAGAGAGAGAAAGAGAACAAAAGAAAGAAAAACAAAAAAAAAAAAAAGAAAAAGGAAGGAAGAAGAGATGGTGATTAAAGCCCTGTTTTTTGTTTTTGCTTTGGAGTTTGGGGTGGAGTTTGTTGTTCTTTTTTAGGAGACTAAAATAGCACAACTCTTGTTTTTGTGTCCTGAGTCTTCTGTGAGCTCAAAAACAGGCAGAGTGCTGAGGGCAAGGCCTGGGTTTTACCAAACCAGATGCCCATAGCAGACCAGAGAATTCAGCTTTAATTTCCTTCCTCTCTCTGAATGACAGATTCCTTTAATGCAGTGTCTCTGTTGCCCAATCTGTCAGAAAGGGTCAAGAAGATGCTGGCAGCATTTCCTATAAACAAAGCCACCTCTGCTACAAGTGCGATGGGGGCAGGGCAGCATGGCTTGGTGGTGGTTTATATTTGGCTTATTGACCTTGGGCTTCCTGACCACCTCTTTCCCTGGGGCCAGCCAGCTTCCTGTTGACAAGACTCCCCCCTCCCCCCAGACTAACTGTGCAGCCCATACTTCTCCATGTGTTTAACTAATTTTGGGTCTCAGCAGGTCACAGGATAAAATGCACCTGATTTCCAGGGAAAATACCAACTGCCCCAGACTGTTTCCAGCCCTGCAAATATCTACCAGTCCAGACACAACAGTGCAGGCCTGTGAGCAGCCAGGCAGCCCTGCTGGGGCCCTGAATCACCCCTGGCTCCCAGTGACGCTAGAACAGGGTCCCAAATTCCACCCTTCTCACTCCCACCCTCGCCCTCAGACTAGGAACCAATTGGGCAGGTCCCTCAGCTTCATCCTTTTTCTTCCTCTTGCCCCATAATTGTCCTAAACTTCACTCAAACTGGAATGTCCTGAAAACATTCATCCATACAAAAATCTGTACACAAATGTTCATAGCAATATTCCCAATAGCCCCAAAGTGGAAAATGTCCACCAACTAATTAATGGATAAACAAAATGTGATAAACACATACCACATATTGTATTCATGTAGGAATATTATTCAACCATAAAAATGAATCAAGTCAAATAAAAAGGAAAAAAGTACTGATCCATACTTTCAAATATTATTCTAGGGCTGGGGCTATAGCTCAGTGGCAGCATGTGTTAGGTGCTGGGTTCTATCCTTAACACCAAATAAAAATGAAACAGATAAAATAAAGGCACGCTGTCCATCTACAATTTCAAATTTTTTTAAAAAAAATATTATTCTAAGTGAAAGAAACCAAACACAAAAGGTCACAAATCACAAAATTTTATTTATATGAAATACAGAATAGGCAAATCCATAGAGAAAAAGTAGATCTGTAGTTGCCTAGGATAAGGGAGAATAAGCGGGTGAGGAGTGAATGTTAATGGGTACATGGTTTCTTTTTGGGTGACGAAAATGTTCTCTAATCGTTCTATGAATGGTTATGGTATTGATTATTACAACTTTGTAAACTGCCCATTTAGTGAGTGAATTGTATAGCATGTGACTGTTAAGTAAATAAATAAATGTTTAAGAAAATTGAACGTCCCCGTTTCTCTCTCTCTTTTTTTTTTTTTGAGAGTGAGAGAGGAGAGAGAGAGAATTTTTAATATTTATTTTCTAGTTCTCAGCGGACACAACATCTTTGTTGGTATGAGGTGCTGAGGACCGAACCTGGGCCGCACGCATGCCAGGCAAGCGCGCTACTGCTTGAGCCACATCCCCAGCCCACGCCCCGTTTCTCAAAGTACCATGGGATTTCCCACCTTGCACCTCTGCTCATACCATTCACCTTCCCTGAAGGCCTCTGTTCCATCTCCATTCACTGAATCCTGGCTGAGCTTCAAAGTCTAACTTAACCCTTCACCTTGAAGACCTTCCTCACAGCCTGGGGCCCTCATACCCCCCTGAGGCCCCCACAACTCCACAGTGAACCCTCCCCTCCTGGCTTCTCTGCACTTCTTTGGATATGAAAAAAGTTTTGTCATAACTTTTTGTTATGACATTTGGCAGGTCCCCTGTCCAGTGGGCCTTTGCTGTCTGCCTGGCTCCCCTAGCAGAGCTGTCCTCAGCTGGAGGGAGGATTCAGGACTGCATTGTCACTGTCCTCTCCCCCAGCTGTACTGATCCCTGACAGTGGCATACTGAGCCTGGCCCTACCTCTTAGCTGAACTCATATTGAATCTGGACCAGAGCCCACCCCTCACTCCCCAGGTGTCCCTATCTCCCTAAAGTCTCTGTGACCTTCTGTCACTGTGGCTGGAAACTTTCACTCAAGGGAGCCTGCTGAGGCCCTCCCCTGCATTTTTTTCCACCATCAAAAATAAATAAATAACACATTTCCTTTTGCATTTTTAAAACTTATTTATTCCTCCCCTCAGGAGATTACTCTCAACTTTATTTTGAAAATGTGTCAAAGTCCTTTCCCAAGGCAGAGAAGATTTCTTAGTCTATGCAGAAAGGAGAGAAGGGAGCCGGATTCAGTGGCACATGTCTGTAATCCCAGCAGCTCAAGAGGCTGAGGCAAGAGGATCATGAGTTCAAAGCCAGCCTTAGCAAAAAAAAGCGAGGTGCTAGGCAACTCAATGAGACCCTGCCTCTAAATAAAATACAAAATAGGGCTGAGGATGTGGCTCAGAGGTAGAATGGCCCTGAGTTCAATCCCCAGAACCAAAAGAGAGAGAGAGAGAGAAAAGAAAAAAACAAAATCAAAAAACGGAAAGGAGAGAAGGGTGAGAGAGATCAGAGGACAGGACCCAGTTAATTTCCCTGGGCTCAGCCCTACTGTGGTTGCCCAAGGAGCCCAAGTGCTCTGGTGCCCCCTGCAGTGAGCGGCACACTTCCAAGCAGACTGCTCCTCCTCCATTCACCTATATTTCTCAGGCACCTTGTTGGAACTTGCCCTCCTGGGGAGAGGCCCTGAGACCTCTCTTAGGCTGAGGGGTCAGGACATGGGCCCTATTAACCACCATAGCCCAAGGCCCTCACACTGTACGGGGATGGAAGCCACAGTGGACAAACACCCCAGACCTGTTATCCCTGGGCCTGCAGAGCAGCAGGGATAAGGCGGAGGAGAAAAACTGAGGCGTCTCTAGGGCAGTGACACCTATCTTCAGCTCTGCCCTAAGGATCTAACATACAGCAAGTGACTTCTCTCCTGCTTGGAACACTTTTTTCCATCCTGGCCCCTCCCCAAACCTGGCTGATTTCTCTTCATATTTCAGTTAGATAGTTCCTCATCCAAAAGGCCTTTCCTGCTCTGCCCCTGCCCACCATCTCCCCAGTTCCCCCCAAACATCCTGTTCTTCCAAGCATTGTGCTTCTTACACTGCTGAGCTTGTCTGATTACTTATCTGTCTCCTTCCAATGGACTGCAAGCTTCCTAAGGGTTTTGTTCCTATCAGCAGAGCTTGAGATAGGGCCCAGCAGCCACCAAGTGCTCAATAAATGCTTCCTGAGAAGTAAAGGTGCCATTTATTAAGCCCCTGAAATATGCAGGACCTAGCACCAACCAAGTGCATGACATACTTTATACCTCATTCAACTCTCTCAACTGCCTCCTCCAGTAGGTGCTATTGTTCCTCATTTGTAGATAAAGAAACCAAGATTGCAACACAAAGCTGGTGGATGAAAGATTGCAATGTTTATCTATCAGACCCCAACCTTGTGCTTCTACCCAACAAATGATCCCCCTTCCCATTCTCAAGGATCTTATGACTTTATCCTAGAGAGGTGGGCAGGCCATTTGAGCTGAGCAACCCAGTAGGCTTGTGGCTGGAGCAGGTGCCAGAGTGCCTTGTCTTCTGATGATACTTTCCTGCAGGTAAGTGGCCCCCAGGCTAAATCCCTGGCCTGGTACTCATTAGACTCAGGAGCTCCTGAGCTGGATATTTCAGATGAGAAGACAAAGGTCATGCAGGAGAGGATCCAAGCTGGGTCTAGATAAGTGAACACTGCCTGGGGATTTCAGCTGGGGAAGCGGCCAGCTGGGGCAGCAGGAATTCTCTGTGGGGTGGTCAGGACTAGGGATTTTATCCCTGCCTCACGGCTTACTCATCAGACCATTTAGACATATGTACCTGCACACTCAGTCCTTCCCTGACAGGAAACATATAGAGGCCATGGGCTCTTTGCCACCGAATAATGCTCTGCTTCCTTCCCAGGTCACTAGGGGGTTTCAGGCTGGCCAGGGGACTTGGACCACCATGTCTGTGGCTCCTCCTGCTTTCAGAAAGTCTTTCCTTCTTGCTATCCTAACCTCTACTAGTAGCCTGATAATATCCAGGAGGCCGACCAGGAACTAACATTTACCAAATCATGCTTCATGCCAGAGCTCTATGTGATCCTTGCAACCACCCTGAATAGAAGGTTCTATTTGCATCCCTATTTCAAAGAGGCCCAGCGAGATAAATGACTTGCTTAATGTCCCATAGCTCATGATGGCAGAGCCAAGAGAGCTTCCCTGGCAGTCTATGCCCTATTCTCCCACAACATCGCCTAGCCTGGTTAATTATCTTCAGTGGTGTCACTGACCACCAGAGAATGTGCCTAATATCTGAGGCTCACAGTTCTGCACTGCCCCCCCCCCAGGCTTCCCTTCCAGCCTCATGGTCCACCCCTGGCTATATACCTACTATCAGGACGACCTCTCAATTCCAGCCTCTGCTCTTCTTGCCTGGAATGCCTTTCCTACTGCTCCTCACACTTCCAGTCAATGCCTTAGGACTCCTGCCTCCTTTTACTTCCTTGTAGTTTCAGGGATGCTTCCCCTGATCATGTGTTCTAATCCTTTCAGAGCCAACACTTGCTGGCAGAGCTAAGCCTTAGGACTCTCATCTGTGATGCTACTTTCCTAGTTGGTGATTTTTTCCTTGGGGAAATTCAATTTGGTTTTAAAGTTCCTGGCATTGCCTATGTTGTCTTGCATGCTGCATGTTATTGATATTGCAGAAATGAATTGAAAGAAGCAGGCTATGTAGCTC